GAGTTCTATGGCGTTAGAGATGCATGCAGCAACACCAATCTCATCAGTGGGGGAGGGCAGCCTGGAATTCGTTGCTTGTGATAGAATGATGAGGCGGTTGAGAGCTTGTGGTTCTGCGTTTCTGGATAGCAGATCTTGCGCTTGGGTAGAGAGCTTCGATCGGCAAAAATGGAAGAAGGTGGGCGAAGAGGCTTCTCGACATCATCTGCGCAGACTTTCTAAAATCTTACCCTCCCCATCCCGGGATGGGATTAGGTGCTAACCCTTATAGGGGTTAGCACCGTGATAACTCGCAAAAAACGCTACTAAAAATAACGAAATCACTACGGATTATTATAAAATCAATACAACATCTAAGCTAAATCACTACTAATTCAAACTAGTAGTAGTTTTTCCCTTGGTTAGGATGGTGCTAACTATTGTACAATTAGCACCGTAGCCGTTCCCCCATCCCTGATTAACAAGAGGAAGGAAGGCAATAGGGGGGGAGGGGGGGTAGAGCAGAGAGACATAGAGAAAAGGATGGTTGGGGAAGATGTGAAGAAAGAGACTTTTTTTAGTGTGGTGTGGGACTATTTTTTATATTATAATAATATTTTTTTATTAATTAAGTTTTTTTATCTCGTGAATATAGGGAGACATTCATTGAATGGGTTAGTCTCCACACAAAGTGAAATTAAATGGGAAGTGATGTATAATAGAACGAGGGAAATTAAATTATAGGAGTAAGTTGTGATTATATTGTTTATATTTTATTTAATAATATGAAATAATAATTTATTAATTAAAATAATATAATATTGACGCTCTATTCACGCTCTTAATATTGAATTCTTCAAAAATTGACGCTCCCGTTCTCGCTCTCGCTCCCGATCCACGCTCTGGTTACCTAATTTCATGCTCACTGAATTACCTTATTGACAACATTTTCACAATGTTTAGGAAGCATATAGAACAAGATCTTCATAATGCACAGCTTGGTGCCTAAGTATCCTAAAACTCAATCATGGCTCTGCTTGTTTTCTTATTGCTTTCATGGTTTTGTGCAGATTCGAATAAAAATTTGTTGTGTCATGATTTTGAAAATCAATCTACCAACCAAAGCTAAAGTGTAGAAGTGAGGTTCTTTTCATCACTAGTACAAATTGTAACTGTCATATTTTATTTAGCTCTAGTTTATTGTGCCAATGACTTACTCTGTTTGGTATCTCTCCGTGGTTGTAGCTAGTTTTGTAGAGATGTACCTTAGGCATTCTGCAGCAAGTGTTGTATCACAGCAAGTGTTAAATACCAATAAACTCTCAAATCTTCAAGACCAATAAATTCTCAAATCTTCAAGTCTTCTTGTATCAATAAACTCTCAAATCATTCTCCGTGATTACTATATGAGATTTGATTCAAGTCTTCAAGTCTTCTTGTATCAATAAACTCTCAAATCATTCTCCGTCGTTACTGTATGAGATTTGATTGGTCTTGAAGATTTGAGAGTTTATTGGTATTTAAGCTAGTTTAGAAATCTTGTATCAACATGATGATTTGGATAATTCTAGATGATTCCAATTTAGCTGGTGTTCATGCTACAAGAAAGATTGTTTTCAATTGTGTTGATATTTGTTTTATTGACACTAATCTTATAATTTCATGTGCATATTAATGTTATAATTCCATACCTATATTAATAGACAAAATATTGTGATTAGTGACTTGATAATTAGCTATAGTAGAATATCGTGATCAATTGTTAATATATAGACATGGGAGAACCAATCAAATACTGTGACTAATGTTTGACATCTGGTCATGGGAAATGATTTTGTCATGGCAAATACTGTATAAACAGGTGTACTTCCCATCTCTAAATGAGATTTTTTGGATGTTGTGTGTGACAAAATTTGGTATTAGTCAAGGGGCTCCCCGTGATTAATTGGTACAAATTATCATGGGAAATTATACCGTGTCTAGTTACAACTAGTCATGGTACAAATTTCCTGTGACCTTTACAATTAGACACAGAGGTATATATTATGGTAATTTTACCGTATTTAAAATTATTAAGCACGAGAAACACACTTTCAAACACGGGTTTTCCTGTGATCGAAGGATGTTTTTCCTGTAGTGACACGTATTATTTTGTGGAATTGGGATTGGGATTGAATTCCAATTGTTATTCGGTATTAGGGATTACGAGATTGGGATCGGTATATTTTGAAATATAAGCTAGTGTGTATTTCGTCCTCTCAACTCGAATATCTCATTCACTACTACGTGACCCTCAACCACCAAGAGTGTCATTTAATTATACATAGATCATTCCATCACTATTTCACACTAGTATCAGTCGTCTCTCAACCTCCAATTCGTCAAATTAAAGATTACCCCTTACAAGAACTTGAGATGTTAGCTCTAGGTAATTCAAGACTCTTTGATTAGTCTCTTTGCCCTAAATTAAATAATAAAATCTCATTTATATATTTAAGTATTAATTGCAAAGGTAATTAATTTTGTATTCGATATTACCGATTGGGATACCGAAATATTTAGGGATTGGGATTACGATACCAAAATTATTTAGGGATTGAGATTGATTTTATAGTGTAATTCGGTATTCATGATTTCAGTATTTGGTATTGGGATACCGATACCGTAACAATTTCCATCCCTACTTACTGCAAATGTTTCTATTGCCTAAGAAGGCTCTGGAGAGGATACAACAAGTACGTTCTTCTTTTTATGGCATGGTGTGGATCATCGTAAAGCAAAAGCGGCATGGATAGACTAGCTAAAACAAAGACAAATGAAGGCTTTGTCTGAGAATTTTGGTAGTGTGGAGTGTTGCATGTACCACTCGAATGTTATGGTCGTTGTTGATGGAGTCTGGGGTTATTTGGATTGCACAATTCTGGAATACATAAGTAAATATGGAAGTCTGAAATAAACGAACACGATGCACGAGATTTACGTGGTATCCTCGTTCGTGATAACGAGACTAATCCACGGAAGACTCACAAAGGAGTCTTCGACTATAACTTTTATTAGGGTTTTGATTTCTGCAATCTACACACGTAGCCGATCAGCTAGCTACATATATATACTACTCTCACAATTCCCTTTTCACTCTTAACTAGGAATTGTAATTGCAAACCACTCCTCAAACAATCATACATGAAACAAAGAGGGACAAAGGCAATAAACAGCTCGCCAAACATCCATGCACGTACGCCCCCTCACCTGTACGTGCATTCACAACACGCCCCCTCAAGCTGAGGCGTAAATATCATGAAGGCCCAACTTGGAGGTCAGGAAAGCAAACTGCTCGGCTCCCAACCCTTTAGTGAACATATCAGCCACCTGATCCGGAGAAGCAATCTTCTGCGGTGAAACTTCAACAGACATAACATGCTCACGAACAAAGCAGCAGTCCATTTCAACATGCTTCATTCGTTCATGAAAAAACTGGATTAGCAGCGATGTGAAGAGCTGCTTGATTATCACAATGCAGCGGAGTAGAAGAACTAGAAACACCCAACTCACTAAGTAACCATCGAAGCCAGACAAGCTCGCTCACTGTACTTGCCATAGCTCGATACTCAGCTTCAGCGGAAGATCGCTAGGATATAGGGCTGTGACCTAGCTGGATGAAGTAGCCAATAGTGGACCGACGAGTGCGTTGACAGCCTCCCCAGTCTGCATCGCAGTAAGCAGTCAGGCTAAGTTCACCTCGAGTGGGGAAAAGGAGCCCTCGTCCCGGTGCACCCTTAAGATACCTGAGAATGCGGTGAGCGGCATCTTCATGCTCCTGCCGTGGCGAATGCACAGCCTCACTAAGGATGTTCACAGCATAAACGATGTCCGGGCGAGTCACCGTCAAGTACTGTAACCTGCCAACGAGCCTACGGAAACCGGATGGATCCTTGGTTGCGGGTCCTTCTATGCGCGTGAGGCGGTGATTCTGCTCTATCGGGAAAGCACAAGGTTTAGCAGCTAGAGCCCCAGCATCCTTTAAGATATCCAGGGTGTATTTTCTTTGTGACAACACCAAGCCACTGCGTGAGCGAGCTACTTCAATGCCCAAGAAGTACTTCAAAATTCCCAAATCCTTGATATTGAACTGGTCATGCAAAAATTCTTTAACACGCTGTATGGTAGCTAAATCATCACCACCCAGAATAATGTCATCCACGTAAATCAAGGCGAAAACAAACACTCCACCGCGCCGGTAGAGAAAGAGAGAGTGGTCAGCCTGTGACTGACGAAAACCAAACTCTTGAAGGGACGTCGTGAACTTCATATACCAGTTCCGAGAAGCCTGCTTCAAATCGTATAAAGATTTGCGCAGACGACATACCCGGTTGTCCCCCGGTCGAGAAAATCCCTGGGGAAGCTGCATGTAAACTTCCTCATGTAAGTCGCCGTGGAGAAACGCATTGTTCACATCCAACTGATGCAGGTGCCAATTGCAGTTTGCGGCGAGAGCAAGAATGCAGCGAACAGTGACGAGTTTGGCGAGCGGAGCGAAGGTATCATGGTAATCAACACCTTTGATCTGGGTAAAACCTTTGGCCACCAAACGAGCCTTATACCGCTCAACACTACCATCAGGATGGAATTTTATCTTGTATACCCACTTGGAAGCGATGGCTTTCTTTTTTGGAGGCAGCTCCTCCAACACCCAGGTGCCATTAACTTCCAAAGTGTCAATCTCACGATGCATGGCCTCCCGCCAGCATGCGTATTTAACTGCTTCTCGGAAAAACTGAGGCTCAACGAGAGTATCCACCGCTGACACAAAAGCACGATGATTAGGAGACAGGCGAGTAAAGGTAACACAAGCCGACAAAGGGTACTTGACAGCAGAAACAGTGTGAGAGGAGGGGAGAGAAGTCTTGTAACCTTGGAGTCGGACAGACAGTTGGCGATTGTGCAGACCGCGACGAGGAGGAGGAGCAGCCAGCTCCGGCAAAGGGGAAATAGGGAGCTCATCTTGGACAGGAGAGGATTCCATGGGAGGACTGAAACCCATGGCACCGAGTGGAGAACCCGGGGAGGAAGACTCAGCGGGGGAAGAGGACTCGTGGGCGGCCAAGGAAACCTCGGCGGAAGTGGAGGCTTCAGTGGTAGTAGTAGAAATGTGTTTAGCAAGGGGAGTATCATCATCATCCTCTATGGTCGAGTCATGTATAGGGGGCACATCATGGCCCAAGGCAAAAGGCACCGGCTGAATATCGCTGGTGAGGGAGTGAAAAGGAAACACCTTCTCGTCGAAGAATACATCGCGGGAGACAAAAAGTTTCTGAGAGGCCAACTCAAGAACTCGATAACCCTTTTGAGAGGAAGGATATCCAGGAAAAACGCAAGCGCGCCCACGCTCAACAAACTTGTCAAGGTGCGAGTGAGTGTCCTTCGAGTATACCAAACAACCAAAGGCTCGCAAATGATGGTAAGAAGGGCGACGACCAAACAAACGCTCATACGGATTCTTGTTATCAAGAGCACGATGAGGCAACCGATTAATTAAATACCCTGCAGTAAGTATGCACTCCCCCCAAAATCTCTTAGGCAAATTCGCATGAAAGCGTAATGCCCGAGCGGTATCCAAAATGTGTCGATGCTTGCGCTCGACAACTCCATTTTGCTGTGGCGTGTCAGTGCAAGACGTCTGAAGTTGAATCCCTTCATGAAAATAGAAATCAAATAGGGTTGAGGACTGAAACTCAGTCCCATTATCCGTTTGAATGATCTTCACTGGCGCACTAAACTGGCAAGAAACCTGACGGATGAAAAGCTTCAGAAACTTGCCTGCCTCAGACTTGAACTTAAGCAAATAAATCCACACACCACGTGTAAAATCATCAACCACTGTAAGAAAGTACTGGGCTCCACTTAATGACGGAACTTTGTAGCCGCCCCAAATGTCAACGTGAATAACATCAAAAGGTTTGGAACTACGTATCGATCCAGTAGGAAAAACCAAACGGGGCTGCTTTGCTCGCAAACAGGATAAGCAAAGCTGCTTATTCAACCTACAAGTGCTAGGAATTAAATGCAATAAATCGAGCTTCTCAGGAGATGGATGTCCCAAGCGAGAGTGCCACAAGTCAGCATCAACTACACTTCGAGCCGCAAAAGCCATCTCCTTGCGAACTCCATCAAGATGAAGTCTGCCGATATGGAGACGTCCGTGAAGAACGCCGCTGGCGGCAGCGAAGATGGGTTTCCTACATCTTTTGTTCTTCCTAATTCTGATAGTCCCAACCATTTATTTATTAGAGAAGTTCTCACTGACTCAAACTATGGAGACTGGCTCGATGACATCACAGATTCGTTTCTCACTAAGAATAAAATGGGTTTTGTTGATGGCTCCATTGCCAAACCGGTGTAAGGGGCTCTTCTCGAGCAATGGAAATGGTGCGATGCTATGGTTAAGGGCTGGTTGAAAACCGCCATGAGCAAAGAGATTCGTTCAAGTGTTCGATTTGCACGCACCGCCCGTGAAATATGGCTGGACCTTGAGGCGTGGTTCGGTCGCGGGAGTGTGCCCCGTCTATATGAGCTGCGACGCATGATTGCTCTGTTACAACAAGAGCGATCGACTGTGTCAAGCTTCTACACGAAGCTACGCGGGTTCTGGGATGAAATTAATTCCATCTGACCTGCTCCCGAATGCAATTGTGGCGGCCGCACTTGTGATGTCAACTGCAAATACCGCGAAACGAAGAACAGTGAACAATTATTTGACTTCTTGATGGGACTCGATGAGACTTTTGCCACGGTTAAAACTCAAATTCTAGCTATGAGGCCCATTCCTAGTCTAGCCGATGCATATCACCTAGTCAATAATGCGAGCAACAACGTAAGATCGCCAACACCAGGCGTCCAGCAGCTGAAGCTGCTGCTTTTCATGTCCAAGACAGGCGAGCAGCTCCACGAGACTCTTCTGATCGTTCGGCACTATAAATAATTTTCCAACATGATGAAAACTAAATATTAAAAATTTAATAATAATAATAATAGACAGCAAATAATTTACACTTTAGATGCCGCTAACATGTCAGTCACGTATATCATATTTTTCAGGAGGCAATTAATTTATGTATAGCACGTATAAGCCACAAAAACACAATTTTCTTGTAGTGAAATTCAATTCAACCGAGTATATGATTGACACTATCAATGCTAATGCAACATATATACTATACACCAAATTGTGAATAAGGACATAACCTGTAGCTAGTGACCTGTAGCAATCAACTTAACTGAGTAAGGAAATAATTGTCAGTTGAAGGAAATAATAATAAGGAAAATATACGTGTAGCAAAACTTGATCTCCCACGTGATTAAATGAATGTTAAAGACTGTTTGAAGCATTCATACATAGGCCTTTGTCGGTTATAGAAATCCAATTCCATACTGAACTCTCTCGAATTCATTTCCCCCATTTGGTTCGTCCCTTTTTCATTACCAACAAAAATAAATGAATTACTTGCTTCTGACTACAAATATTACTGGAAAATCCACCACCAAGTAAGTAAATAATATCATTGTGGGTTGTACCTTCTGACCAAATTCAGAGAAGTGGGTCAAAACCCTTTTTGAGTGTGAATATGGCATAAGTCGGCACACGTGGCTATATGCTTGAGGAAGCCCTAAACCCACATGATAAACCCTTAACAGTTAACAATATGGACGGTGCGTCTTACTTCTTAGGCCAAGTCCAATGCAAAACCCCAAATTTGGGAATTGAACCCTATTTTCCCTTCTTTTGCTTCAATGCAACAAACTCCATATTTGGGGTTCTTAATATTTCTAGTTTTTCATTTATTTAAAAATGTACTTATCGAAACTTTAATATAATTTGTTCATGTTAATTTTTGTATAGTTCGTCATCATTTTTAAATACAAATTTTTCGATAGAATTTTGTTAAATTTCGTGACCGAATTTTTTTTGGCGAAAAATTATGGACCTAATTTGGGTTTACACACAACACTTCAATTCCCTTAATCAATTTCCTTAATCAATTACATTAATTTCCGATAAAATTATTTGGACCTAATTTTTTGATAAAATTATTTGGACCTAATTTGGGTTTACACACATTAATTTCCCTTTCCCTAATTAATTACATTCAATTCCCTTAAGGATGGAGATCGACGAACGGCCGCCGACATCCGAGATCAACCCATCTGGCCGGCCGCCGGACCTCCAACCGCCGGGGGAGAGGCAAACGGTGAACGGATCGGGTGGTGCAATGACTTTCTTTTATCCGCCGATGACCCAGGAAGGAAACAAAGAGCTGCAAATACTGTCTTTGAGCCAATCGGGTGAACCAGGCTTGTCCCCGTCTTCGCAAAGTCAACCGGCGATCTCTTACGCCGGAGCAGTCTCGGGCAGGAATCTAGAGGAACACGGTAAGATTGTCCGATGGACACCGGTTGGAGCGAACGATATATCGCCAGGAACTCACCAAGGAGAACCTGCTCTAAATGTGTCAGATGATTTCAAATCGAGACTTTGCGTTCCCTGGCAGAAGACGCTGGTGGTCCGGATCCTAGGGCTTCGGGTGTCTTTCACAACCTTTCACAATAAGCTCAGGGCTCAATGGAGGCCGACTGGAGCCATGGAAATTTGGGCGCTAAGCCGAGACTGCTTCTTGGTGAAAATCAGCAATGAAGCTGACTATCTGCGTGCGCTTACAGATGGACCATGGACAATTTTTGATCATTATATGGTGGTGCAGCAATGGACGCCAACTTTTCGACTCTCCGATAAGCTCCCAAAATTGATGGTGGTGTGGGTACAGTTCCCGGCCCTCCCCATTCATTTTTATCACAAGGAGGTCTTGTTCTCATTGGGTAACATGATTGGAAGAGCCATTAAGCTGGATTATCACACTTTACACCAGGAAAGAGCCAAATTTGGCTGTATTGCGGTGGAGGTAGATCTCTCAAAACCTTTAGTTCCCCGCATATGGCTGGACGGAGCATGGCAATATCTGGAATACGAAAACCTAGCAGTGGTGTGTTTTGAGTGTGGTAAAGTTGGTTACATCTCAAGTACTTGTCCTTCGCTACAAACATACGAGCAGAACAATCTTGAGAAGGGTTTGGCGACAGTGCCGACCGACACTCCGGCGCCGGAGAAAAGCGACGACGAGAAAACAGGTTTCGGCCCATGGATGCAAGTTTCTCGTAAATCACGGCGGGGGAACAAGATCGGTGAGAAAAGGCAAGTGGGCAACAATACAGGGAATAATCTACGCAAAGAGGAAATAAATGGCCTCCACAAACAAGGAAAGGGAGAAGGGTTACAAAAGGAAATGACAAGCAAACAAGGCAATACTCAACGGCAGAGAACGTGAGTCGCGCAATGACAAAATGAGGGGAAAATGGAAGCTTCGACGAAGGAATTAATTAGTACAGCGACGCTAAAGGGGAAGGAGGTTGTGACGGAAGGAGAAGCTACGCAAGGAAAGAGGGTGGGTGGAAAGCATTTTGGGCCCCCATCCTACAAGGAGTATCTCTCAACATGCTGAAAAAAATTCGATCTCACAGGCTGGGCCTTCCGGAACGGCTCATCACAAAGGAACTACCCCCAAGAGCGGGCCCAAGTCTCCAGAAGGAGTTGTCCAGCAAAGCCCACTAGTTATCAGAGACGTGGAAGGCCCACAAGGGGTGAAAATTCGGACTATTGAGACAGCCCCCCCCCCCCCCCAGCCCCTCCGACTCGGCAACCAGACCCCCTAGCTCCAACGGCGATGACCAGAACGAAGAGCCAAAAGAGGAATCATTCCCCAAAAGGCAAGCAGAAGCTCTCGGCCACCAAATCACCGAAGAACCTGCAGATTTGGACACCAGTGAAAGATAGAAAATGGAAGCCCAAGTCACAAGCCGCGATACTCACCTTGAGGGAGATCGAAGCATGGACAGAGAGGGCTAGGACGACGACGGAGATGAGTTCGGCACGCCAAGAATCCACTAGGGAGGAGTCGATTCAGTCGAGTGCTACAGAAGCCCCACCTTCGCAATGAGACTTTTCTCTCCCTCTCTTTTTTGCCTTCCCTTCTTCCTCTTTATCGTTTATGTCGATGGTCAATAATACTAAATCGTTTTCTATTCTTTCTTGGAATATTGGTGGAGCCAAGAGTCCTGCGGCTTCCCGATCTTTGAATTTCATCACCCAGGTCTACCGCCCCGACATCCTCATCCTCTTGGAGCCCCAAGTTAGCGGAGAGTCGGCCGATAGCATCTGCGGGTGGTTAAGGTTTACGAACGTTTTGCGGGTGGAAGCTCATGGCAGGAAAGAAGGCATTTGGTTGTTCTGGAACAGCTCCGCTCTCCACCTGAAGATGGAATCAGCCTGCTTCCAGCATCTGTCGGTCAAGGTTTCGAGCGGGATGACTCCTCCGTGGTTGCTAACGGTCGTGTACGCTTCTCCCCTGCAACCCCTCCAGCATTCCCTCTGGGAATTACTCAGGCCAGTATGAGTATCGAGCTTCCCTGGCTGGTTACTGGAGATTTCAATGCTATCCAAAGCCCGGATGAGAAGACGGGGAGCTGCACTCAGAGCACCTTTCGTCGATGCAGGATCTTCAACGAAAGGATTGACAGGACTGGTCTTATTGATTTGGGTTTCTCGGGAGCCAGATTCACTTGGACCAGGGGGGATCAGTCTAGCTCTTATAAAGCCAGCCGGATAGATCGCAACCTATGCAATGATATCTGGAACCAGAACTTCCCCAACACCTCGGTTACTCACCTGCCTCGGCTCCACTCAGACCATCATCCCATTATCACGATCGTCAATCATCAGGGAGTTCCCCCCATCTCCCTCCGTCCTTTTCGTTTTGAAGCCGCGTGGCTTACCCACGAGACTTACTCCGACTTTCTTGCAGGAAATTGGAAGGATACAGCCATGCTACCTGAAGCTCTAAGCGACCTGGCTGACAAGATGAAGGATTGGAACCGCCTTACTTTTGGAAACATTTTTCGACAGAAGAGGAGGCTTCTCAAAAGAATTGAAGGAATTCAAAACAGAATGGCGCAAGGTTTTTCCCCTGGTTTGGCCAAACTGCAATCGAAGCTGGAAACCGAGCTGGACAGAATTTTAGAGCAAGAAGAGTTCCTGTGGTTTCAGCGGGCCAGGGAAAAATGGGTTCAAATGGGTGAGCGTAACATGGCGTATTTCCACCAACAAGCGAACATCAGGCGAAGAAAAAACAAAATCTTGAGCCTAAAAAACCAGGAAGGCGATTGGATTACCGACCCTTCACAACTTGCTGACATGGTTTTTGAGTTTTTGTTTTTGCTCTTTACTCGCAGGATGAGCAGGAGTATCTGGATAGAATGCCAAAAGGAGCCTTTCCCCGAATTTCACGGGAGGATCTCTTTCAGCTGCTTCGCCCGTTCAATGGTGCTGACATCCATCAGGCAGTGCATGAGATGAAACCCCTGCAAGCTCCTGGGCCGGATGGTTTTCACGCCATCTTCTATCAGCACAGTTGGAGGCAGGTGGGTAGAGATTTGATTGACATGGCCATTAATTTCTTCTCCACAGGCACGCTTCCCTCGAGGGTGATGGACTCCACAGTCGTCCTAATACCAAAAGTTGAACATCCGGAGGTGGTGACTCAGCTTCGGCCGATATCCCTGAATAATGTGTGTCTCAAGGCTATCACAAAAGCTATCACCAATCGATTGAAGCCTATCATGAGGAAGCTGGTCTCACCTAGACAGAGCAGCTTCATTCCGGGCAGGCAAACCACAGACAACATTATCGTTCTCCAGGAGGTGCTCCACTCTCTTAGGTAGAAGAAGGGTAAAAAGGGGGGAGTGGTGCTCAAGATTGATCTGGAGAAAGCTTACGATAGACTACGATGAGATTTCTTCAGAGACACACTCATCGAAGTAGGGCTGCCTAGCTCTTGGATTAACTGCATCATGTTCTGCGTTGAGAAGAATAATATGTGCTTGCTATGGAACAGAGAGATTTCCCCACCGATTGCTCCCACCCGCGGAGTCAGACAGGGAGACCCTCTTTCTCCCTATCTCTTTGTGTTGTGTATGGAACGCTTATCACACAGGATCGATCAGGTTGTTCGGGATAGTCTCTGGAAACCCATCCGACTATCTCCAAACTGCCCGACTCTCACTCATCTATTTTTCGCGGATGATTTGGTTCTGTTTGCAGGGGCAGAGAGCTCGCAGATCAAAATCATAAAAGAATGCCTAGATGACTTTTGCCATAGCTCGGGGCGGAGAGTTAATTTTTCCAAGTCAGCCATGTTTGTCTCTGCCAATATCCATCGTCGTCGAGCTAGGATGCTCAGCAGGAAGGCCTCTATCCCTCTCACGGTGGACCTAGGGAGGTACCTGGGAGTCAGAGCGATCAACGGGTGGGTGACGAGGGCTCGCTATCAAGACCTGTTGCTTCAGATTCAGAGTAAACTAGCCCCTTGGAAAGCAAAGAGGCTATCACTGGCAGCTCGCATCACGGTTGTTAAGTCCATATCCTCATCTATTCCTATCTATCTTATGCAAACCGAGCTTCTTCCCGTTAATGTTTGCAACAGGTTAGACCGGATTAACAGGGATTTCATATGGGGTGACACCGACGAAAAGAGAAAAATGAACCTGGTGGGATGGAACAAACTGCTGGAGCCGAAAAGCAATGGAGGACTGGGGATTCGACCGTCCAGGCAAGTCAACATCGCGATGCTGGCGAAAGGAGGATGGCGCCTGATTCAGGACAAAGACAACCTTTGGTGCCAAGTGATGCGGGGCAAATACGTGAAGCAAAGAGAACATCTGGAAATGCTGCGACCTATTCAGGGAAGTTCCTTTACCTGGGCTAGTATGCCAAAAGCGTCCGAGCTACTCCGTAAAGGAGCTGCTTGGAACATTCATCGAGGGAATCATGTTCATTTCTGGTCTGATATTTGGATTCTGCAGGTTCCACTCATGGAGGTGGCTATTGGAGAAATTCCTCAAGAAGACCGGGATGCAACGGTGGCCGACTACGTGGATGTTGAAGGAAGATGGCTTACCCACAAGTTTAGGAACCTGCTGCCGCAAGAAGTCTAGGAGCGAATCACAGCCTATGTCGTGGACCCGCTGGCGGCTGAGGAGGACTCGCTTTTCTGGAGAAATTTTCCTAATTAAATAACTCAACACCTTTCCTTTCTTCCCTTAATTAATCACATTAATTAGCAAGCAATTAAAAAAAACACTGCTGGGCGGTTTCCATTCCCCATAAATGCCGAGTTCGGCATTCCCTCCTCCATATTTGGCGACGCAGATGCCGATGCCCTCCATAAATGTCGATCTTCGCCATTTTTAGGCCCTGCATTGGAGCTCCAAAATCGCCATTAATGATGAGAACCCCATAAATGCAGGCTCTTTGGAGTCAGCCTTAGTGGTAGTAAGCATCCATGTAGATGCATGGAGTTTTACTACCGAATCTTCATATTCTGCATATTGTTGGTTTAGAGAGACAAATTCATCTAACTCGATTTTCTACCATGCACGTAGAAACCAGTTTAGAACTTAATCCTATGGCTATTAGTACTTCATAATTGGTTCTTCTCTAGTTTCAATTCTCATTGTCGGTATTTGAAATCGAGAGTTAAAGTCATCAATTCATCATGACCTGCGAAACATGATGTTTTTTACTTTTTAGCTTATGCTATTAATGTCTTGCGTGTATAATATAGGGTAAAATACCTCGGGTGCTACTAAGTATGAGAATTGGGGGAGCCATATCACATAAGTATGAATAGGGCGTTGGGTACCACTAATATCATAGAATTATACATCCGTCCAAAATTTCGTTCATATACCGTTAAAAAAATAAAATATTATTTTTATATATAAAAAAATTATAAAACAAAATCGAAAAGAAAAAACAGAAGAGAGCTATGGCTATCGGAATTTGGTAGAGATCTTGCGAATTCTTTGGGTAAGGAGGATTTATTTTTGGACTCATCTTTCTTGTCACTCCCGCCTTTAATGGATCTTCAAGCAACAGTTGGCCAAACCGGGGTCGCCTGGAGCTGCAGCGGTGGCGGCTACGGAAGGCAGTTTGAGTTACGGGTTCCCCGATCAAGCGATGAGGTATTTGCAAGGCGGGGGATTTGGCGGCTACAGCGGCACGAGAGGTGGTGGATAGTGCCAGGTGGAGCAATTGATGGTGAGATCGACGTCGGGTATGGATTTCGACAGTGAGATCGTCGCCGGAAAGCGGCGCAATTTGGAAGAGGAAAACTTGTTTTTTTTACCTTCCTTTTCTATATTCTTTTATAATTTTTTGACCAAAAATAATATTTTATTCATTCTTAACTGTAGATGGATGGAATTTTGGACGGATGCATAATTCTGTGATATCAGTGGTATCTGACGCCCTATTCATACTTAAGTGGTATGACTCCCCCCAATTCTCATACTTTAGTGGCACTCAAGGTATTTTACCCGTATAATATACATAACAAGTTTATGAGTTTTAAAAAAACTCATTGTGCATCCTCTTAATTACCCTCTCGTCTATTAAGTTACTCAAGGTTAATTTCGATGTAGATGTCCCTCGTCTAGATGTTTCCTCTATTTATTGAGATTCGTAATCATATATAATTAGGAATAAACTACTTCATAGAATTTTCATTGTTAGGTGCTTGGATTGTTATTGACCTCTCGATTAAAGGTACATATACCACGAAAAAATTAATAAATAGTGAAAGCACAAATTTTCATTGTTAGGTGCTTGGATTGTTATGTCGTTCAACCTTGCAGGGTACAAGATATAATCCACAGGAAGGGGAGTTATTAAATATATACGAATCTCAACACTATAGGACTGGTTGTTCATGCTAGTGGTGTTTCAGTGTTGTTTTCTTGTGCGTTTCACGATATCAACATTTTTTACCCCTCTAACAAACCCTCTTAGTGGCAAATGATGCTTTCCTATTGTTAGTTCACTTTCCTATTGGTCCGGTGGTCGAGAAATGTGATATTCTTAATGTTATCCTTTAACTCCTTGCTAGAACTACTTTTGATGCGTTTGATAACTTGATCTATGTGATTGCCCGCTTCTAACAGCTTACCATATCGATAATATTTCGATTTCAACTCCTTGCTAAAACTACTAATTGAGTTAGCAATAAAGTGACAGGTAAGATCCTTTCATTATCGTTTTGTGAATTTGAGTATTTTCGGTCATATATTTTTCTATCTATAAATAAAAGGTGGGTTTCAAGCTGAGAATGCCTACATTGCCGACACCTGTCCAAAATCCAAAAAAAAAAAACATACTGCTTTCCATCATATTACAACTTTGCCATCTCCTAACACTAAACTTTGCATGTCGCCGCCTGTCACTTGGATAGTCACGCCTGACCCAAAAGTCCCAACCGCAGTCACCATATATAACAATATGAAACTCGAATTAAAAAAAACAAAAGAGCACTCGCCATAAATCACGATTCACATACCACAATTGCATAAGAGAACCCATATCTCTACAAGGATAACCATTACTTATGGCTAAGAAAATAGAGATGACTAATATTGAAAACATGTTGATCTGCAAGCTAGAAAGTGAACTCATATGAGAAAGTCGAACCAGAAAGATACAGAAGGGAAATAGCTAGGGGAATGAACAGATGACTGATCACAACAAAAAAGAGTATTAGCAATGCAGAGGAAAGACACGGATACAAGAATTGAGAATCGGAGAAGAGAGAGATGGCCCAAGTATTGAAGTTGCCTCAAAGGCAGATTGAGAAAATCAGAAAGCAAATGGGGTTGGAGGTCCCAGATTTGTATAATTTTAAAAAATACCCAAAATTTTCTACTTGCATGCAGATGCAGGCACTCCGTGATGCTCCAGAAGAGAGATTATTATTGGGTAAATTAAGGTACGTTACCTGAGACAACAACATTGTAGCCAAACATGACATGCAATAGAGGATGACGATCGGAGTAATCTTAGCCTCGAACTTTGTCCCTCCGACGGGCGTGAACCCAACGCTTGCCATGGCTTATATCGGTTGTAGGATGGAGGATCTGATGGCGGGGGGTCGTCTCAAATATGATTTTGTTGTATTTTGTTGGTACCGAAGATTGGTGAAACGTGAGAGGGAGAGAGTGGATGGAAATGGAGTTTAGGCAAAATGGGGAGTGGGTTTATATAGAGGAGAGAGTGGATGGAAAATGGATATACTAAGGAAAGGTGGGGCTTGCGACCATCAGGATCTATCCACATGGCGAATTACTTTTTATTTATTGGTAGAGGGTGTTGATTACCATCCTACTCATCTTCTCCGGAAGTTGATGGATTTCACAGAAGCAACAAAGGCAGAGAAGAAGAGGACGTTGAAGCAGACGAGCACCGCAACATGTAACAGAAACCAATTTCTATTGACAGGTTCACTGCAGACTACATACATTATAGCCCTTATAGCAATTCAATTGCATACATAGTGCTCAGTTGAGACTCGTATCGAGATCCGAAGCAGGTGCATGAACTGAAACCAATTTTCACTCTTATCTTATCAAATTCAAACACGATCATCTCCTCTTATGTATAGAAAGTAGTCGACCGGCATCGTTGAGTCACACCAATAGAGATGGAAATCAAAATAGCATGAAATCGAGTTTGGTGTATAATGCAAAAAGTACATGCCCTCCTAACCTAACTCGATGACACTTTTGTACATTGGGCCAGAAACTAACCTCTGCCTTCTGTTTGTTTGGGGGGGGGGGGAGAAGGGGTTACGAGATGGGCCCACTGAAACACAGCAACGTTATTGGGCCAGTTACGTGGATGCTCTTAACTCGATATCGCCAAATCGCAAAACAATGATGGATCATACAACTAAGATCCGAATCATCTTTCAACAAACTGGTTCAAACCAGAAACCGAAACATCATAATTTGGCCAGATTAACCAGGATTAAACGAACGAAAAAAGATTAAGAAATCCAGGAAGCTATCGCAAAATCTAGCAAGAAATAAAAGCAGAGGGAGGTGCATAAAACTTTATGGGAGCGGTGGCTGGTGGTATAGCGAAGATCAAGATGAAGAGTTGAGATGGAGGTAGTGAGAGAGGAGGTGAGGCCGGCGGTACCAGTGACTTATGGGGTTAGGAGAGGGCGTCAAATCCTTTGTTTTTCCAATTTTGGTAGTGGTCCTGACAATTCTCCAAATGAACTATAATGGACTTCAGAGTGAAATTTCTATTATGGCCCACAGTTATTGTTATTTGCGTGGGAGAGTGCGCAACTATCTGCTAGTGGAGTCTTTTGGCCTCTGATTTGTTCTTCCCATATCTGGAAATGTGTTCCTTGTCTAAGATACGAAGGAGGCCAAATCTTTTATAGATCTTGCTTGTTTTCTCCTCTCCCCTCCCTCGTCTACTTCCTTGTTTAGTTTTGCAGATCTTGACGATCGGGAGACGTGGCCTCTGGCTTTGGACGCGGTTGAGAGAGCTTGAAGGAGGAAGTATTTTAACCCTTTTGTCTCTTTTGTTGACCGTCCGGTTGATCGGATGTTTTCATTGGGTGTTGTCGGCGGGAAGCTTCTGTTGATTGACTCGGAGTGGGATGGTTAGATGTGTCCTCATCCTGTCTTCCGGGTTCACGACTGCTGGTGGGAGGAGGAGGCGTGTTGTGATCTTGTGGCGGCGATGGATCTCGACCGCGGCGGTAGAAGAGAACAAAGGGGGGATCTGACGATTAGTGTTGGGACTGCTTTTGCATGTTTTGGTCATGGGTCAGGACCCTATTGAGTACTGGGCCTGTTTGTTTGACCTTATATTTGAGTTTTTATTTCAATTCTATTGTTATGTGGCTTGCACTTTTTCGTTTGGACTTAGCCTATCCATATTCTTAATGATATCAGATTAAAAAAAAAATCTACTAGTGAACAACTGAACAATAATAAACATGTTTTCTCTAACTTCTAAAAACAAGAAGAAAAAATAACTATTCAAGCCATTATCCAAATAAATAAAGGTAAACTTATAAAATAAAAAAATAATAAAAAGATGGCATGTTCTTTAGAACTGTTTTCGTGGCGGCTGGCTGCGTGGGCTGGGCTGGGCTTTGGCTTTTTCAAGGCTGATCTAGTTTGAATTCTTCGAATCAGAATTTCATACCTCTTTCTCTCCCAAATCCATATATATCCCTTAACACACACGAACAACATATTCAACATTTCCACTTCCCTAAAAAAAAAAAAACATTTCCACTTCCACCCTCTTCTCTCTCTCTCTCTCTCTCTCTCTCTCTCTCTCTCCCGTTAACTTCAACCAGGGGTCACCTCTTCCATTTTATATCACAAACCAATTTCATTCAAGCAAAAACAATTCATACCCCCACCAAAAGGAAAAGTAAATTGAAAAAGAAAGGAAATTCAAGACCCACGAGCGGCAGAGAAAGGAGAATTTGAGGGGGTGTTTTTTATATGATAGTTGGTTTGGTGGTCGTCTTCTTCGTGCTTCGAATCAACATCTATTATTAGTTCATGTGCTTGTTCGTGAAGGTGGCGGACCAACAAGGCGGCGGCAGCGGCGGCGGCGATAGCTACTTTCCCCCTTTCACTTCTTCCTCCTCCTCTTCTTACCCCGGCGGCGATCAGGATGCGGCTGAAAATAGCAGTAATCGACAAAAAGATGAAGCCTTTTTGCCGCTCCCGAACACCCCACAAGATTTCGCTCCTGCCCATCTCCGTCATCAATTCCAATTCAGCCATCCCAATCCGAATCAGCAGCAAGTTGCGGCGGGGGAACAGGGGAATTTGATGATGAATATGGATACTCCTTCAGGGCACAGGAGCGCCAGAGATATGTCCGCCATGGTTTCGGCTCTCACCCATGTCGTCTCCGGCACCGGAAGATTGGGCTCCAGCGGTGGAATAGCGACGACAGCATCGTCGCCGCCGCCGCCGCAGGTGTCGAGTACTTCTTCGGGGGTCTCTGCTGGCTCTGGTTCCTCTGCAGGGGTGTGGGCGGCGGTCGGTCAGAAGAGGGAGAGAGAAGAGGAGACGGCTTCTGTCGCTCAATTGATGGAGCAGCGAGAAAGGAACTTTCGAGGTTTCGGTCGTGATTTGATTCATGGGGGCGATTCTTCTTCTTCTGGTGGTGCAACTGGTAAATTCCTTTTTCTTTGTTACTCTGTTTCTTCTTCCCCTGTTTTCTGCTCTGTTTTCCAAAGTTAGAATTCGTATTTTTGGAATAGATAATTTACTTAGTACATACGTATACGTATGTAATTATAATTCAAATACATCTCTCTTTCAAAATTTCCCACTTCAATTTTTTGGGATAAATATTTTTTTTTATAAATGTACACAATTAGAATGCAATTTGATTATTCAATTAGTATCTCGTGACAGAGCTAAGCCTTTATATGTAAATTTTGTATTAAATTTACAAAATATAGTAGGCAATAAGGTTTGGCCCCTGATTGTTCAAACTCTCTGTGCATAAATTTTTAATACATTTTCATTTAAATTTCTGACTACGCCACCGTATATATGAAGCAAGTTCTTGTACCTTTTCAATCAATTTCCGGGCTGCCAATTTTAGTATACGCAATACAATGAAAATGTTTATACGTTGATTTTTTTTTGTTACAGTTCTTTCTGTAGTTTTTGTTAACGTAATATTGCTAGCCTTACCTAAACCAATGGAACAGTTATTTTCTGCAATACCATGGGCAAGGAAAAAGAGAGAAAACTTAGAAAAGGGAATCTCAAAATCTTTGCTTCAAAGCGGTGAAAATTAATTATGAATATGTACTATATTAAATTTGATTTATGTTGATTTCTGATTCACATTCCAATCTCTGGATACAGTCCAAGCAGAGGACTCATCTAATTCACAGGCGATCCCTACGGCGGCGGCAGCCTCGCCGGCTTCCACGGAGTCTGGCGGCGCCGAGGGAGGTGAAAGGAGGAGGAGATACAGAGGAGTGAGGCAGAGACCTTGGGGAAAATGGGCGGCGGAGATAAGAGACCCGCACAAGGCGGCGAGGGTCTGGCTGGGGACATTCGACACGGCGGAGGCCGCAGCCAGAGCATACGACGAGGCCGCCCTCCGATTCAGGGGAAGCAGAGCCAAGCTCAATTTCCCGGAAAACGCCCGCCTCCTTGCGCCGCCAATGCTGAATGTAAATGTCCCATCCGCCTCCACCGCGCGCCAAATCATTCCTCGCCTCAATCCTGCTCCGCCGCCGCAGCCGTCAGCTCAATTCCGTGGATTTGCTCAGGCACCGTCGGCGGCGCGGCCTCAGCAGCAGGCGGATTTGGTGAGGGATTACTGGCAATACTCTCAATTACTACAGAGTTCCTCCGCTGCTGGCGGCGGATTTCAGCAGCAGCCGCCTTCTACGCTATTAGAGCAGTTGCTATACAGCTCGCAGGTTCCGCCAGCTCTGCCGTTCGCTTCATTGCCGTCGACGACTTCACCACCGTCGGTTCGCGCTCAATCTCCTTCTCCTTCTTCTTCCTCCTCTGCTTCATTTCCCCTGCTTTTCGCGGGTGAGCAGCAGCCCGGTCATTACCAGCCGCAACAGAGCCAGAATCCGAATCCAAGTCAGACGCCGACCTCCGTGTCGGATTTCCCGGTGCCGCCGTGGGCGCATTCTAGTCCTTACCCGCCGTCTACCGGTTGATTTTCAAAAAACAGTTGGGTTTCCTATATACAGTTTCCCCTTTTCTTTTTCTTTCTTTTGAGGTGGAAAATTTTAGTATATTCATATAGTTGGATTTTCTTTTGTTTTTGCAGTGATTTTTTTTTAATTTGATAGTAATTCTTTTCTATAGTTGAGGCTATACAAAAGGATAAGCTGGTAGGATTATTATATTACGTTTTGTATAAAGAAAAGAAGCAGACAGATAGATGATATGAATTGGAATTTTTAATAGGAGTTTGCATCATATATTGAGATGGGTACGTTTCATTCTTGAAGATTTGCTTGATGTCAACATTATCCATTATGGATCCATGATTTTTTATGCCTTTTTAATTGACCTACTTGTCAAAAAAAATAAAGAAAAATTTGACCTACTTGCATGGTTATTAACCCCGGGCTGACCGATCGGTCAAAACCAGATTGGATCAGATATCTTCACCGGGGGACGACGATGCAGTAGGTAGTTGGTCTGGACCTGGTGAAAGTCAAATAATTCTAGTGGAGTTTGCATAAATCAGTAGGTTTTATCGATTTACGAAACCCTGGTTAACATTTTAAAATTGAATTGGAAATTTAAAGTAAGGCTTCCAAGATTCAAATTTGTGTAGCCAGTGTATGGACCTTCTTGTAAATTGTATAGAAATGTAGATATCGTGCTCAAACGTTTTCATTATTCTTTATAATTGACAAATAAAATGGGTGAAGGTTTAGATGGCTAAAGATAGAGTGCATAATTTTAGGGTGCATAATTATGAGTAACCAAATCTGGACTCTTCTTTTAAGTGACTGCAGATCTAAGAGTTAAGAATTAAAGTAATTTATGTTTTCCTAGTTTTCTTGATTGGATCAAATATTCTTCATTCTAACTCGAATTTCAATTTTTTTTGCACACATGGAAGGAGTTTTTTGTACTTTACAAAATGATATCCATTTCCAATATTTTTTTTCATACCTCTCGTTAGCAACTTCATACCATATGGTGTCTCCTTCAATTTTTAGTCGTTTTCGAAATTTTTGCACAGAAGGAACGATTTAATCATATGATCTATTGGATTTCAAATTTTTGCTGAGTGAAAAAATTTCATACCTCTCGTTACCAACTCCATACCATACTATACCACCCTGGTATGAGGTGGTATTTTTCATACCATATGGTATAGACTGTTAATAAGAGGCAATTTTTTTTATTGTTCCAAAAAATATCAAAGTGAATATCATTTTGAAGAGCACAATTAATCTGATCGAACTGTGAAAAAAAATTAAATTCCGAGTTAAAACGAGTGAGAAATCGTCCGTTAAAAATTAAGAGAAGGAAAATTAAAGATTTTTCGAGGAGAGAGAAGTAGGCGCTGATGTGATGGATTCTTATTGAGTTATGCATGGAGTTATAGCACCACAATATTACTCACCGGATCTGGTCCCGGTTTAGATATATTATTTATACTTTTTCCTCATGATTGGTAGATAAAAAGTGTAAGATGGACACAAGAAAAAAAATGCATAGTTTTGGTTTGATTGTATTCCATGCATATTACGGTTGTATTTAATTATTAAAAAAATGTAATCACGTGTTTACACCAATCTAATTCACGATTAAGTTTGTGAATCTAACTTTTAATTATCTATTTTACTTTTCAAATGTTCGATTGATTGAATATTTGAATTAAATAACCGTTCTAATTCAGCGATTAAGCTTGTGAATCTAACTTTTAGTTATATAGTTTACTTTCCAAATGTTCGATTGATTGATTTTTTGAATTAGATAACCGTTCCATATTATCTTTGATGAGTCTATTGGGATGTATTTTTTAATTAATTTATAGTAATCAACTGCTTAGGATTTGTCAAGTTGATGGCGAGGTTTAAGCTATCATGAATCCATGATTACGGGTGCTGACAAAAAAGAATGTTATTCAAATGGCGTTTATTGCAGTGTGGTGTATTATGTATTCTCAATCTGTGGGAACTATCCCTACCAAACGAAAAAAGTGTGGGATTCGAAGCTTTGAGAATAGATTAATGCATTTAGGAAGGAGAAAATCCTTTCCAGAAAGGTAAAAGTGTAAGGATTGGAGGAGAACATAATTTTGTCTATTCTATACATCTGTCAATTTAGTATCTATTTTTTTTTTTAAAAAAACAGGTACATAAATTTTGGAGTTAAAATTACATTTTAGTAAGTTCATATTTTTCTTTACTAGTAGGTCAAATCTGTAGATGTGAGAAATTTCTAATCACTAGATTGGTGGTAGAGCCAAAAAATGGCCCACCCTAAGTTACCAAACTCTACTCGACCCTTACAAGGCCAAAACATGACCCAACTCTAAATTAGTAAATTGGTTATGTAGACAAACTTATCAAACTCCATCCATGATCAAGTCTGATGGGGTCAATGGATATATAGGAACAGGCTTACAGCCTACCCTTTGAGGCTACTGTGAATTGTTATAATATTTTATTTTCGGATCTGGAATACCAACAAACTTCTTTTGTGGGGTTATAGTAGTCCGTAGGGCTGGCTATTTGGTTCGGGTTTTTTGGTTTTACTCGAAATCGAACCGTATAACCCCAGACCGAGACCAGACTAGGACCGGATAACAAACAATTCAATTCAATTTTCGGGTCTAGATTTGAGGCAAATAATCGCTTGGGACCGGACCGAAAACTGGATAAAGACCGGATAAGAGAGTCCAACACCCAAAATTTAACCTCATCACCCTTTCAGGCCTAAGGCCACTCAAATCCCCCCTCAGGCCACTCAAATCCCCACAAGCTCAATCTAAAATCAAGACCGAATTGAGACCGGAACGGATCAAAACTGGATTGTATCCAATCCAATCTTTGGTCCTTATATTCTCGAAAAGACCGGACCGAGACGGATCAATTCAGGCCAATTTAACTGGACCAGATCATATAGCCACCCCTAGTAGTCAGCATGACCATTGTATTTTTAATTGTGTCAAATTTCATAAACTTGTTCTCATGGGTATAGGTGTCAATTTGGTGGGTTCATTTTGGGTTTGATTGTGTTACGTGTTAGTCGGATTACGAGTCAAACGAGTTACAGGTCATTCGGCTTCGACTTTATTGGATCACTGGTTAGTCAGGTGAGAGTTCAATAGGGCTCATTTGGGTTACAGATTAGTAAGCTTCGGGTTTAATCGGGTTACAGGCAAGTCGTATTCATCAGGTTGTAGGGCCAACCAAATTATGGGTTCATCAGGTTACGGGTAGTCGGGTTATGGGTTCATCAGGTTGCAGGTAGTGGCATTATGAATTGATTGAGTTGCGAGTTATTCAGCGACTAAATTGCAAGTTTGGTCACTTGAATTACTAGTAAAGTTCACATTAGTCACTAGAATTACTTTATTCCATCCGTAGTCACCTAGATTATGTTAACAGTTCAAGTTTGGTGAATGGCCGTTAGTCTCCGTTAACTTTTGCTGATGTGGCAGTCAACTCTTATAGTTGACCGTTAAATGAGTTGCGTGGCAATTAAAAATAATAAAAAAATAAAAAATAATTTTTAATAATTTCCACCTCATTATTACAATAAATTCAAAAATAATTAAAATAAAAAAGGTCACAAACAATGAGGTGGAAATTATTATTTTTGTTTTAATTATTTTTGTTATCATGAAATAAACATAAGCAACCATCTTGTAGCTAGAGAATGACCAACTTTTTGACGAAAGAAGTAATCATGAAATAAACGGAATGAATTAGAATTGTCTTACCTGGCCTGTCTTTGCAAACAAGATATCAAAAAGAGAAACAGAGCCCTAATTCCAGGCGGCGAACAGAGAGTGCTCCCTACTCAACAACTACCCATTTACACACTGGGAGTCAACCTACTAGCAAAGCAATCAAATCATATCACTAGGCTTCCTACTTTGAAAAATCGCCTAACCCTAATTCTTCTTCTTCTTCTTCTTCTTCTTCTTCTTCTTCTTCTTCTTCTTCTTCTTCTTCCGTGCTAAACTTTAGGCATAGGCTCCTCCTCATCGTGGCTTCAACCGGAACAGAGCATCAATATTCGGGTGGTGGAAGTAGCCGTTCTTTGGCGGTTCCTGCTTCTTCCCACCAGCAATGTGCTGCTCCCTCTTCTTCTTGGGCGGCGGAGGACACGGTTGAACCGCCGGAATTCGAAATTCGCTGCTCTTGGGAGTCCGGCAATCTTCCTCCCCTTCTTCCACCTCGGGCATCTGGAACGCCTCCATTACTCGATGATTCTCAACGAAATTGCGATGGCTTCTTTGAAGAAGACGTAGGAAGAAACAATGAGGTGAAAATTATTATTGTTGTTGTTTGTGACCTTTTTTTGTTTTAATCATTTTTTAATTTATTGTAATTATGAGGTGGAAATTATTAAAAATTAAAATATTTTTTATATCACCACGTCACTTATTTAACGTGAACTATAAGAGTTGACCGCCACACCAGTAAAACTTAACGGAGACTAACGGCCAATGACCAAACTTGAACTGTTAACCTAATCTAAGTGACTACGGATGGAATAAAGTAATTCTAGTGGCTAACATGAACTTTTTTAGTAATTCAAGTGACCAAACTTGCAATTTAGCCGTTTACTAATAAATATTTCTCCTACGGCTAAATTACACGTTTGGTCACTCAAATTACATAAATATTTCACGTTTGTCACCCGAATTACTTTTGTTTCTTATTCGCCACTAACTTTACAAACGTGAAAATGTTTCGTAAATTTAGTAAAGTAATTTGGGTGGCAAATGGTGAAATGATTCATAAAGTTAGTGGTGAAATAATTCGTAAAGTTAGTGGCAAATAAGAAAGAAAAGTAATTTGGGTGGCAAACGTGAAACTTTTATATAATTTAAGTGACCAAACGTGTAATTTAGCCTTTCTCCGACATGAAAGTTCAAGATTCATATTTGAAAACACAAAAAAATTGACACAAATTAAAGAGTCTTTTCAACCGTTTCATCCATAAAAGAGAAGAGAACGATGGCTTGCCCTCAATAAATATACAAAATTGAAATTCCCACCGTACTGGCAAGTTCTTCCCATTGAGCCGGGCAGATACCAAATCCTTAGAGTTAGGTGACTCACTCTTACAGTCACTCTAGAAAATGGCCAAGTGCAACCACTTCCTAAAGCGTAGTATAGCGGGTTTGGGTTTTAATGTCAACCCGGGTCCTAGATGTGATGACTACTCCGTGAGTTCTTATTATTTAGCAGTGAAACTTTAGTGAAGGTCCAAACAAGCAAAAACACAAAGCAAGTTAAACGGTTGTTTTCAAGTCGAGAGAGGTCACCCAGATATGGTTCCCCCTAGACTGCAGATAAGTCGGATTGTAATTTACCAAGTTCAGGTTCAATGATAGTTATACTGCGGGAGGTTCTTAAATAGTCTGAAGTCTCGACTAAAGGTCTCCAGACCCTCTCAATCTGAGTCTCCAGCGGGCGACTAACCTCCACCGGAGTAAACAGATTGAGGCCCTAACGAACCAAACCTCCACTACCGAAGTAAATTCGGTACAGAATAGTGAATTGACTTCTCGACTAAAGTCGCCAATTCACTACCTTCAATCAAGGGTGCTCTATCAACCTAGGCAGATATTCTATTTCTAGGTTCAAGCAGAAACAACAAGAATTTGATCAGGATTCATGCCATTCAATAAATCAAACCTCAATTGAACATAATCATATCAATGAATCTGTACTTGGGTTCATACAATCAGACCTAACATACAAATCTAGGGTTCTTCATACCCAGGTGAATAAGAAAACTACTCCATAGAGAGAGATGGGAAATCTAGCTCAGATGCGAAAACCATACTGTGAAGGATGATAATCTGCTTCTGGCACGCAATCAGGTCTTCTCCAAGCTCAAGCCGGGCTCCAATGATGATGAAGATCGATCTATGACACTTGCAGGATCAGTTTCCTCACTTTCTCTCTCTAGGTATCGCTCTGTCTCTCTAAAACTCGGAACCCCCCCTCCTTTGGCTCAAATCTGCCTTAGAAGGTCGACTCTGGGCAAAACACGGTCGAGGGCACGACCGTGTTTTGCTTTTGCCCGTCAGTGCCCTTGCCACGTGTTAAAAACACGCCCGCGTCGGCCAAAACACGGTCGTGCCTAAATATGGACACGACCGTGTTTTTCTTTAGGCCAGCCCGTGTTTTGCTTTTCCATCAGTTCAACTCTCGCACATAAAAACACTGGCGTGCCTGTTTGTGTACGCGGCCGTGTTCTTCAGGCCTCCTGCCCGTGCTTTGGCCCCAGCTCGACCGAATGACCTCCAAATGCCCCGAAACTCGTGCTTAGCCTTTCCTTCGACGTCTGGGACCTGAAATATGACAAAGTAGCACAACCCGGCGTAAAATAGGCCAAAAATACACGACTACGCCCCGCAAACGGATAAGAATTAGGGGTGCAAACATGTGCAATTAATGGTCTATCAATCCTACGTCCAAACTTGCTTTCGGCTTGCCCTTGTTTTGTTCCCCCTCTCTTCTTTCCTTTTGATTTCGTACTCTGCTCTTGTCTGAGAGCCTATTTTGTGCTTTTCCTCCTTTCCCACTCCTTGGAGATTCCTGTTCACGAACCTGCTTCGGGTTTCTTTGGTTTAATTTAAGTTCATCACCATTATAAAAAAAAAATTGCCATCACTAACAACGGCTAATGAATTGATGATCTCTTATTCAATGATCAACCACAAAATTATGAAGTTAGACTTTGTTGTCGATGTAAGATGGGGGAGCCTTAACCCCAAAGCTCCACGTCATTAACCCGAGCAGTCCACACACTAATGAATATATATACCAACAGGTCACATATCCAAAGTAACTGTCATCCAATAAAAAAAGACATTTTAGGATAAGAATTGGACTGACAGTGCATTCGGTACGGTACATTTTTCTTTAGTATTTATAAAATTTATGAAACCAAAGATCGAATCATATTATATTTGGTTTGATGTGATTTAGTCCAAATTTTGGTTTGATCCGATGTGGTTCGATACGTACCAACCCATCACACAACATGTGATCGATCGAGGGACTTTATGAAGAGCTTAGTGCAAACGCATCATGATTCATGTGTTCCTTAAAAAGAAGCTAATTTGATGGAAGAGTGTATTGAAATCTATGGGAGCTTCCACAGATAAGTCTGGACAGTGGCGAAGTCAAAAATTCGAACAATTGTGGCTGACTTAAACTATCGTAATTGGAGAAGGAGGCTAAAGCCTTACCACCTATTCTATTTCCTAGAGTTATGCAAAATTTACATGTAACTATACCTATTCAAATTCGATGGAGGGCTACCGCTTCTCTTATCTTCAACCTACCTCTACCACCGAGTTTGCACCTAAAACTAGTTATCTTATGAGCTTATTAACATGCACGTACTTTTTGAAAGTTGAATGACTTAATAACGTGTTTTATTAAATAATATTACGTATGCTAAAATTATCTCCACCTAAAACTATTTATCTTATGAGTTATGAGCTTATTGACATGCACGTACTTTTTGAAAGTTGAATGACTTAATAACGTGTTTTATTAAATGAAATAATACGTATGTTAAAATGATCAATTATAACGAGAAGTGCTAAAATTATCAAGTTATCAATTTGGCCATTCAACGATTTGATATTTTGTTCCATGATTAATAGAATTTAGACTTATTTTTCTTGCCGAAAAACAAGTTTGATAACTACCATGGTAATCATTTGACCACCCCAAGTCCCCGACCAAATAGCCAAAATTTAGCCATTATTAGTCATAAATTTATAATTTTTTTAGAAAGTATAGTAAGAGAACAAGTATTTAGAAACATTAAAGTTGATAAAAAGTGGGAATGCTTTTACTAATGTCTAATAGAAATGTAGTTGGTGAATAGTGTGTGGAAAGTTGGAAACTTGGAATCAAATATTAGGAGTATAGCTTTATGAATAATTTTTTTTCAAAAGACAAAGTTGTAAGGTGATTTTTTTCTATGAGATAGAATTTAGGTCTAATTAATTTGTAGGTTTAGATAACAATATTGATTTTTAGTGGTAATTGATAAAAATATGTTTTTTAACCAAAATTTAAATTTGAGAAATATTTCAGAAAATAAAAGGAGAAACACACACAAGCAGTACAACGTTGTTTCCGCAACAGATGTAATCATGGCGCACGTGGCTTTCCTCTTTCTGTAGGCTTCCGGACCGGGGAAGATCAGTTGACTAAGGTGGGCCTTAGTCACATGACTAAGTGATCTCAGCCCTTGTAACTCATTTAAATATAATGGTTGATATTAATATAATTTAATAAAGGCTAACATTAGTAATTGTAGGATTATTTAATTTATTAAATAAAATAAAAAATGACCGGACCTCTTCCTCCGCACGCACCAGAGAAAGAAAAACATGCCCGTCGGTTACCATTCCGGCGGTGGGGAATTTTCCATTGAAACCTCCAGAGAGAGACCCCGCCGGCGGTCACCTTTTATAGAGAATGAGACCCCCGCTAGCTGTCACCTTTTATTTTATGGGAGATTTTCTCTCCAGGTGCAACTAAAGGAGTGAGAGTCCAACGACGGTGGATTTTCGGCGATTGGCGATGATAGATTTGCCGGCGACCAGAGACGGCGGCGGCGGATTTCCGGTAGCAGTGTTCAATTCGTGATTTTTGTTGACCGATTTTGTAATGTTTATAAGTTCAGCTTGTAATGTTTATCAATTCAATTTGTATCTTTTATCATTCCAGTTTTTTATTTTTGTCCTGTAATGTTTAATGACTAATTTGTATTAATTTTGATTTATAATATTTGTTACACTAGTTTGTTTACTTTATGTTATGATTTGTATACTTTGTATTCATTGATTGTAATACAATTTTACCAATTTGTATTGTATGTAGTGTTATTTTGTACTGTTAGTATGTTTTGTAATGTTTGTCGGTTTATTCTGTAATGTTTGTTATTTTTATAATGTTTGTCGGTTTCTTTTGTAATGTTAGCAGGTTTTATTTTTTATTTTTATGCACCATGTTTGTCATTTTTGTCAACCATATTTGTAATTTTTTATGTATTAAATCATATGGTTGACTTTCGGATGAAACTCCTCTATATCGAGATGGAGCCTCCAAAGTCAACCTGAGTATTTTTCCATTTTGTATGGTTTGTCGGTCTAATTTTTTATTTTTGTCCACCATGTTTGTAATGTTTGTATGTCTAAAAAGCAACAGGGTTGAC